CTTCCCATGATTTTCAAAAAAAAAAAACAAATTTAAGAGATTTCAACCTCTCCTCATACAATTACAATACATAGTTAGTTACAAGCAGTTACATGTATCCTCAATAGTTTACTTGATTTGAACATCAGTTCATAAGAGCCTCAATACTGACATGTTAACTTTTAAATTGCTCACTATTTTTGTTTTATTTTAATGTTGAATAAATTTTAATTGAATTCCAGAATAAAAGTAGAGTTCACTTCATGCCACAGAGACATTTTTATTAATCAAGTTGTTGGATGTTGTTGAATGAGATTTTAGCATTGTAGATGTTTGAAGAATCATGGGGAAATGTTACAGGGTTCACCCTACAAGGTGTTCCAAACACCCACACTGATCTTATAATAATCACATACTTTCAATAAGTTCACTTACATATAGTTACTAAACAAAGTTAAACACAGTATAAGATGGGCAGCTTTGTCAGTGTGCAGTGATGTACAAGTATACGAGGATGAACTGAATTCTATACAAGATTTAATATTTGTAATAATATGTTTAGTTTACTCACTTTTGCCAGAACTCCACCAGATATTACAAGAATTGGCATGACAGAAAGAATGACCAATGTTAATTTCCAGCCATACACTAATGCAACAACGAAACTGACTATAGTTGTTGACATGAAGAAGACACACATTCCTATTTTTTCACCAATACCATCTTGAATTCTGTTTAGATCTCTGGAAATGCAATATGTAAAAAAACTTATAAAATCACTACCTGTTGAAGACATAAAAAACGTACTGTATGGTTTCATTACCTTTGACTATTTAATTGTCTAAATTCTAGATACAGTGTGCAAAATATTTTGTAAAAAACTTTTAAGTGAAGTTATATGATAACTTGAAAGACATGTATCTATTCTTATTTCACAAGACAGCCTTTATAAATAAAACTTTAGATTTAAGTAGCCAAGGCTAAACATTTTTATCAATTTCATTTCTAATATACAATGGCAATATCAAAATAAACATGTTACAAGAGTCAGTTTAAACAAAATTATGTAATCCTCTGCTATAATTAAAATATTAATTTGATGTCACTGTTTGTTGGTATTTACATACCTATACATGCTGACCATCTTATCATATGTAAGATTTAAAGCATTTTGTTTACTAATTTAACCCCTTATCACTTTATACACCTAAAAAAAGTGAAGGTCTAACAGTATTCAAAGTTATAATATAAAATCTATGTTTACAATAATAGTGCATCATAAAAATCAGTGTCATTAAGAGCTAAGGATTGAAGATTTTTCTCATGAGATTGTGCCTGCCATTCAGATGTGAATCTTTTAACTTTTATAAAAGGATAAAGTAAAGGTATTCATTAACAAAATCAAAATTTTGGAAGTGCTTTTAAAAGAACATACATGTACAAGTTATTCCTTTACATGTGTTTATCTTGATGAAATCAATATTCAAAACCAAATCACAACCACTTGATAAACTCTTATAATGCTTAAAAAATCTGATGATCACAAAAATTACATAGGTTAATTCACTTTGTGCAACACATTGTATTTAAACACAGTGTAATTTAAATTTTCTTTTGGAAACTATGCTGAAAAATAATGAAATATGATTTCAAAATCACAACTCACAAAAGATATAGCACAATTCAAATAAGATACTTGGATTATAGTGAGCACAGTTATAAAACTAACTGTGATTGTTAATTATAGCACAATTCAAGTAAGATATTTGGATTACAGTAAGCACAGTTATAAAACTAAGTGTGATTGTTAATTATAAAAGTTTTAGTTTTTCTAAAACAAAACAAAACAGACCATCTCTTAGACTGAAAACATGTGCTTTTAATGAATGCTACCTAAAAAGCATAATTTAAGTAAACTGGTGTAGAATTGATTATTTTGAAGACAAGATCATCTTTCATACATCAGCTAAATCAGGTTAGGCTTTTATGCTTAATTTTTGGAACACATCACGTATTTTTTCTCGTAATTAAAGAAAAAAACTGATCTTCTGAAACAGCACATTTTAGTGTTTCATAAATATTGAACATCATTTTTGGTTAGCAGCAGCATACACCCTGAAAAGAAAAGGTCAGTCTCCTTCTACTTTGATTAATTCCTCTGCTATTCTAAAACTTAGTTACACTCCTGTACAAGTTACATGTTCTTTTTATATAACTAAATCTAGATGTTTTCAATTCAATTATTTTGTTAAAAATTTGTAAATGGAGCTTATAAAATACTAGTCATCAGAAAAGTCATAGCACTCTATACAGAAATATAGTAATATGTTGGTGAAAAGTTCAAATCATACTAAATCAATTTAAACAAATGACAATAACATAAATATAAATACTTAAATCACAGTGCAACATATAAAAATTGTATGTCCACAGAAATATTTTTCTTATTAGTAAAATTACAAAGTTCACCATCTTTTATGATCACTATACATTGTACTGGGCATTAAAACTATATGAGATATGTTTAACTGTTTGTTTTCTATTCTTTTTGAGAAAACTACATAAATAACACTTCAAGCACATAAAATGCCACTTTTGTGAGATGTTTCAGAAGTAATCATAACTGTTGTGTTGATAAGTACAGTATGTTCATTTAGTATTTACTATCTTCAATTTAAAGAACTTTAACCATGCTTTGATTTTCTATATAAATATACTATTCTTGAAAATTCTTCTATTTATTGTGTTGTTTTACTAGTTATATTAAAATTGAGAACACCTTTTACTTACGTAGTCGCTCTACTGGCAAAATCACCAGTCTGATGAGTATCAAACCATGCCAAATCTTGGCGAACAACAGCCTTCATGAAATAGTGGCGGATTCGAAAAGCTTGGTTTTCAGCTGAAACACTCAGACAAGTGACCATAATATAATTTAGAAAAAGTACAATTACACCAATTAGGGCCATGCCTAGTCCAAATTTCCTAATCTCAGAAAGAAACCCTTGCATAATAGCATCTTCCTCTGCCATATTACTATAGTAAAAAAAAAGTTCACATATGAATAATATTGAAAGGCTACATACAATGATCCAAATAAATAATTTGAATAATATATTACTCATCCTCATAATAAGCAAAATGCTTTGATACTAATTAAGTATAAGTACTGTATTAATATTACATGACTTATTATATTTTTTTTTCTATGATTCTCTAAAACAAAATATGTAACCCTTTATTAAACCAGTGATTATCATTATACATATTTATGTGTAAGCATACAAAGAAAATACATGTAATGTAGTCAATGAGTTTGGTTTTGTAAAAAATAACAGACGTGAAAAAAAAGACATGATAGTTGTTCTTTTGTAATTTTTTTTTATTATCTATGTATGTATGTATGTATGAATGAACTAATAGAAATTTACTGAAAAAAATAAAAAGCATTTTTAATGATTTAGAGCAGTGATTCCAAGTGGTGGGCCATTAGACGTTCAGTTATGGTCTACCTTGGGTCTGGATAACTGTGATTGCTTTAAGTTAATGAATAATCAACTCCATATGTAGGCCTTTACTACTGTGTTGTGTCAAAAATACTAAGTGGTCCTTTATGTGTAAAAGGTTAAAAAACCCTGATTTAGAGAATATTGGACATTACTCAGAAAAGCTGATATCATTAAATAACATCTCACCTTTATTTTGTTATATGACCAATCATGTTACTGTATACTCAAAAGCACCAAACTAAATAGCATGACATTCCAAACAAAAAACTTGTATCACAAAAGATAAATATTTTTGCTCATTGACAGAAAGAATTATTTTAGAGGCTTTAGTATTTAAAAATACTTACAAAACAGAGAAAGGTGTTGCATTAGAAGAATTTTTGTATATTTCATCATTTTTTGGGTTTTGACTGTATAATACAAAAGTATCCAATAGGTCTCCTAAAAGCACAACAATAGCTGGCATTGAACCTCCTGAGAGCAGTGGAGCCAAGCATCCAATAGCAATCAAAATTTTGTCTCGTCTTGAGGCATATTGAAACTATTAAAAAGCAAATTATCAAATTAAAAATGTATTAATTTAACAGTGGGATTTAAAAATTATTTTAAATTAAAATTTTTGGGCACTTTCATTTAATGTTGGTTTCAATTATAAGAATAATCATACTGAGTTATGTGCATATTTTCATAATTCTATTTCTGAATTTTTAAATATGATTTAATCCAAGTTTTAACTCAGAGTTTCATAAGACCCATAATTCTAAATATAATCATCTATTGCTATTCCTAAAAACCATTTCCAAAAAAACCCTTGAACAATGTTTGACACTAGTGATTTCAATGCCAACTAACATTAACTCTGCCGTATAACAGAGATGAACCATTATGTTAAAAAGATGTTTAATTTCTTAGCAAAGTGTTTCCACACATTAAATGTAGATACACCTTAACTACCAAACATAGCATTGAAACATGTTCTAGATGGATAAAATCTAGAATTTGGAGAAATCCTTCAAAGTTTATCAATTAACCTATTCTTTATGTACAAAGGTTATATCATATCTACCATCAGGTGTCTTTGCCAATATTTTTGTGAGAATTCAACAGTCTCATTTTCTGATACTTAATGTCATGAGATTGTGCAAGCACACACACAAGCAGCATAATTCACCTGTTTCAAAAAGACAATTTTTAACTTTTTTACACAGCTGCCACTGTGCTATTGCTGGGAGCAGATATTTTGCAGATGAAAATACAAATTTTTTTCAAGGGTAATTTAATTACATTTTCTAACTAATATTTACTAAGAATGGCTTAAATGATGAGTGTATGCAAGTAACAATGAAATGCCATTAAGAATTCAAGAGGAAAATGACACCACATGCCCCACCTTTAGTCTAAAACTTAATGCAAGTTGCTAAAATTTTAAACAAACATTAAATGATATATGACTGAATATTCATTTTAAGAACAATAAATACATGAACTTATGAACTTAATACCTTACTTAATGAAATGAGCTTGAACATGCATAATATGCCACCTGTCACTTTAATAATCAGTTACAAGAAAATATTTGTTAAAAAGCTAAAGGCAAAACTTACAAGACTTAAGAATGAAACTGGTGGTGGTCCACTTTCTTTGTTCTCTTTGGAGACATTCCTTAAAAAAAAGATAGTGTTTAGAAATTTCATGTTGTTTGTTTACTGTAATCAGAAAGATAAAATATTATGCATTTATTCGTAAAATTTCATTCATATATTTTGTTGCATGAAGACTAAAACAGAATAATTACATGTACAGCACATAAGTAAAGTTTCTAAGCCAACTTATATCGATCCAAAACTCAGTTTCAAAAGCAGACTTTACAGAACACTATTTCATCACTACAATTACATCGACGTGTATATTCAAAATGGCAACTGTCTTTCGTGCTCCCTTTACACTGAAAATACATTCAAGTGTTTATGCCTACTTTCATTATCAGTTCAATCTAAAATATTAGCAACACTAGCAACCTCAGAAACCAAAGAAATTATTCTGTTATTCATACCACTGATTACTAGAAACAGGGTACCTTTTGCTGTGACAACAGGTTAGACATGATAATTAAGACATGGACTCCATAATATGCTAAGAAGTGTCTTAATTGATTGTAGCCCATTTCTTTATATTTGTCCTTTAACAGGTTGAATGATGATTACAGCAGTGAATGATATAATCAAAATATTTCCAAAGATGCCTAATCAAAGCTGAAATCCACAAAGATGACCAAAGGGACTGTAAGTTTCACTAACCCTAATTCACAAGAACAGCAGCTCAAATTAGTTTCCTAATTAAGTGTCAGCATTATAAGGTTGTCCCTAAAGGTATTTGGAACTAAGACCCATTGTCTCAGCATATGGCAGTACTACTGAAAGTCTGTCTTGGCTTATGCACACAATTTTGGTGCCATTACTAAATCATGTTCCAGCCCACTTTAATAATACACAAGGTCTGCTCTCACCAATCAAGGATGTACCTCACATAGTGACCAACATAACATACTCTTTACTTTGGATGTCGTAGCTCTCTACCCATCTATACACAGAAGGTGGTATCAATGCACTGTATGAATTCATGTCAAATCACGTAAACAATTTGGAGATGTACAGAATGACAATAGACACTGTCAAAAAAATCTTACACTTCATTCTTAAAAATAGATATTTTCATTTTGACAGTAAACTATCTCCAACTAAGTGTCTCAATGGGTAGTAGAGGCTGTTACTTGTATCATAATATTTATGCACGTTTTTGAAACAACAGCATTTGATCTCTGGCTTAGATACATCAATGACGTATTTGGATTATGGTACCACACTCTACTTTCTTTAATCCAATTTTTAGACTTTCTAAATTCCACAGACCCCAACATTCAATTCACCCTGAATCATTCAAATGACATTACTCTAAGGATCAACAATGACAATAATACACAATCTACCTTGTTTCACAAACCAATTACAAAAACCTCTCTTCCTTAGATTCAACTCCCATCATCCCAAAACTTCCAAGAAAGGTGCAATTAGTGGAAAATTAAACAGAATCAATCGCAACTGTATGGAAAAAAATAATCACTTTTTCTGAGCAACAAATATCCACCTTTTTACATCGAACAAATTTTCAAGGACTATGATACACAAAAATCAACATCGCACTTCCAACATGAAAAAGACAGATAAACATGAGGGAAAAAATAATAATTTTCTAAAGATAACAAAAAAAAAGATGATTTTCATAACACCTGTAATTAATGAAATTATCTCAAAGAAAATAAAACTACAATCAGGAAATCTGAACAGTCAATTAAAGTTATAGAATGGCCAGGTAAAACCCTAAAAAGCCAACTTTTAAAACCTCAGTATACTACCCTACAATGTAATAAAGCCAATTGTCTGCAATCTAAAGATGGGTGTATTGTCTATAATGTTGTTTACGAGCTTACATGTAACATTTCCCATCATACATACATACATAGAGTAAACCAGAAAAATGTTAACGTTTGAAATGATATCCTTATCTCACTGCACACAATACTTAGAAGGTGGTGTAGGGGCCACTGCAATTGTGAAAGCCTTGAAGAGCTCCCTTCAGAGAAGGCAGCTGAAAAGGAAAGCCCATGGAGTGTGACACTATAGTGGAGGCTTAGATGTAGGAGACTGCATCCATCTCCTGTAGAACATACTCTTCACCTGGATGTAAATATGAAAGAAAAAAGGTGAAGCCAATGTGTCACAGGGATGGGCAAAAAACTGCATGAGCAACCAAGCACTTGCATCCAACCAATCAGTTGAACATGAGGTATTGTGTGGCTAGGGCAATTATCAGACCATACAGTTTGGAATGTGGTTTGTTATATCATATGCTCACTGTACATTACAGGAACAGGGATGATGGTCCAGTCCTTGTGTGGGAGGAGAACACTGCCCCATCTGGCTAGACAAACCACCGGGTAATTGGCATATGAAATAAGAATGAGTAACCTGCACTACACAGACATGGACACCCCTTCACTACTTCTCATCACACTGTGATAAACTCACTCTCTCCAAATAGATCACAAGCAGCTAGGAACTGATATGTGGTAAGGGTTTCCTGTTCTCCACTTGATGACCAGAGATGGAGGTATTCAGAGCCACTGGAGAGATGCCCAGAACTGATATGACCTAATTGTTGCAAAGGTCTTTTATGGAAGAAAGTAATGGGTTACCATGAAACCTAATTTGAACAGCTGGCATGTGTGACCCAAGGAAGTGAACAGATACTCTGAAAGTGTTAGTTTTTTCATGATAGTACATGGAAGATATGGTTTGGAATGGGCAATGAAATATATATCTGTGAAACCCAGTAAAGGAAGTATTCAGTGCATTAAGATCATATCTGTGATAAACACAAGAAAGAAGGAGAAGGAAATGTGTTTTGAGAGAGAGATCAAATAAGAAGCAAAAGACTCATGGTTCAAACAGAGCCTGTTTAAAAGTATGTAGAGCCATCTTGGCAAAGGAAACAGATGACACAGATGATGAATAAGGAAGAACTAGAAAAAGGTGGAAAGAACAGGAGAGGAAAAAAAATGGAACCAGAGTAAAAAAAAAAAAAAGTAAAAAGGCAGTCAACCATAGTATTGGCACTATCCAGCTACCAAAACATATCCTTAAAAAAGAGAAGGTAGCAGCATCACAAGAGAGGACTAATGATCCTGGAAGATATTCCATTGGTCATATGGATAATGTGAGCAAATGTTCCCATGACTCGACTGAATACATAAGGAACAGAAGCAATAATGAAGAGAGGAGCTCAAAACTGGATCCTTAAGAACACTGGGAGGACTGGGCAATCAAAATATGTAGAAAGGCATCCAAAATGTTTACCTTGGTCATCAGTCTAGAGGAAAAGAACCAGTGAGGAGGGGCAAAGGACCTTCTTGATGGTTCTCTTTTCTAAAAGATCCAATAATGTGGCCTTGAGATGCCAAAGATGCTGAGGATCGAAAAAAGGAGGAAAAGAAAAGGGATAGGGAGGCAAAGGAGGTAAAAATGAAAAGTGATGAGAAAAACTCTGTGTATAAACTGTAATGACCCACAAGATGATGGTAAATAGAGTGGAGTGAGCTGTAAACAGAAACAGACATGCCTGAGCCAATTGGGTACAAAGGGAAGTAGTCACCAACAGGACATGTGACAATAACTTGATGGAAAATGAGAGAAAATGAGAAGAAGTAGAGGGACAAGAGTAATGAAAAGAGATAGAGGTGGTGTCTTTATTAAGATAGTCAAAGCTATTATTGATGACCTAGTCACCCTCTAACAAAATAAAATGATCACAATATCCTTTAAGGAAGGATACTAGAATTGAAGACAGTATTCCAAGAAAGGCCTAACTAGTAATTTGTATAGACAGATAATTAAAGAGCTACCAACATTCACACATCTGGGCCTGTTCGCATGCTCACATGCAGTAGTATAAAATCTCATGTTTTGATCAAATTAGCAAATTTCTTTAACGCATTGTGGTTATTTAACTTGGCTAGATCCAGGTTAAATTCAGCATAACACTAATCCAGGAAATGCACTAGATTGCACCATTTTGTTTCATTGAATAAAAACTTTTATGCATGAGATGCCTTAAAATTCCATTAAAAGGTGAGCACCACCAGTCCTCTAAGCACTTTACAGAGCAAAAAATTTAATTTTTTTCAAAAGTCTCACTCAAAAGACTCCTAAATTAGGCAGCCCTGGAAATACCAGTTTTTATTTGTAATTAATATGTCTATACATACACCCTAAAACTATTAGCTTCGATGGCTTGACTGATTTATCCATTAATATGCCAAGACTCCTTTCTTCAGTCATGCTATTCAGTTGGTTCCCATCTATTATATCTGGGATTCAAATTATGATAACCCAAATGCATTACCTTGCACATACTATAAGTATTTCTCCAAGTTATCAATTGATCCAATTCATTCTGTAATACTTTAACATCTTCAATACAGCTAGAAATACCAAAAAATTTAATACCATCAGCAAATTTTACTAATTATGCCCCTATCAATATTGCTAATGTAAATATGAAAGAGCAAAGGTTCTAGCACTGACCCATGAAGTGCTGTATTAGTAACTAGGATCCAGTTTAACTGGAATCCATTATTAACTATATTTTGCTTCCTCCCTTCAAACCATCCAATTAAATAGTCTATCCACAGCCCCTTATCAAAAGCTTTTTAAGAATCTAAGTATATTAAGTCCACACCCTCTCCTTCATTCATGTAACCAGTAACATCTTCAAAAATTGATAACAGATAAGTAAGGCAAGATTTCCCTTTGATAAATCCATCTTAGCTTTGTTTTATAATACCACATTTCACTAAATAATTTGTAAATATTCTTTTATCAGACTCAAGAATATTTCCTACTACAAAAATAAAGACTATCTGACCTATATTTTCCATGACAATTCTTATCACTCCTCCAAAAAATATTCAGGGTCAGTAATATATTGTTAACATTTTTTCTGTAAAAACAGAAGAGAACATTTAAAAGCTCGGCCATATCATAGTGGATAACAAAAAACCTTGCTATCAGTATCGTTTAAGGGCCCAATCCCCATTCTAATATTTT